TAAATGCAGATAACTAAATAAACAGACAAATAACAACCTTTTTGGGATTAGAAGAACGGAACTCTTCCCAAAACCTCTTGAACTCCAGCTCCAATTCGTATTTCTCTCTGCTGTGTCAGGAAAAAGTAAGTGCACTTAACAGGATAAGGAAAGAAACTGCCAGGTGAAAAAAGAAAGCATTTTACATTTAAACATGATTGCCAATCAAAAGAAAAGAGAAGTAGCCATATTTTGGCCAATTTTCTGTAGGGGACATGCTTTTTCCTGAACTGCTTTACCACACCCTAGGCAAACCCAACCGTAAACTTATAATCTGCTTCCTCTTCTCTAATTCCATGTATGGCTAACTGCTAAAGAGCATACCATAATCCAAGATTCCTCCATGCCAATACAACAATGAAAAATGAAAATAACAACTTTCTTCCACCTCTCCTTATCACCATGGACCAAAACACAAAGTATTCACCATCTGATATTCCCCATTTCTCTCAATGTCAATTCCCACTATCTTGATTCTTTACTTTCAACACTAGTTAAGTACGCCTGACCACTCAAAACTATGTGTAACATCTTTGGTGCTGTATCGTGTACGACATGCAATTATCTAACTCATTAAGTACATCTATCCAACAAAAACGATAACAATTATAGTAATAAGCATAACAATACTAGCTAGACTTTATAGATGCATAAAACACAACGGTAAACTGCATTTAAAGAAAATGAAAATCAAAGCCAAAATTCCGCTGTCCGCAAATCCAACATACAATTTAAATTGCAGTGCTCCATTAACAAAAAAAAAAAAAAAAAAAAAACTAATCACAAATTGAAACCTATACAACTGACAAAAATTAAAAACAAGAACCGAACCTGGAAGAAGAAGAAGCGAAGTCGTGGCTATTGGAAGAAGCATTGCATGATTCATCTTCTTCCAATCATGACTAGGAAAAGTTGTGCTGGGGATGTAGGATGGTGAGTCAATAGCTGGAGCTCCTGTCGAGTTCTATCGGGTAAAGCCAATGATTAGAGGCATCGAGGGCGTTGCTGCTGCCGCGATGCAATAGGTATATTTTTTAATTTATTATTTATATATTTTATTTCCTAATTTTCAAATCTTAATTTTACCTACATCCCTAATAAATAGTTAATTTTTTTTACTTCTCTCTCGGCTCACATTTTCAAGAAGCCAAAAAAATCTCAGACTTCTAATGTCCCACCTCACAATTCATTATCTCAGTGATCTCACGACCTTTCTTATTCTTCCTCTAATATTTTCAAAAACTCTAACTCTTCAAACTCTCCTCAAATTCTCCATGTTTCTACACTTTTCTTGTCATATTTTTGCATGTTTCTACATTTTTTGGTATCTTTTT